TCTCGCAAGTGGTCCATGAGAGTGGTCCACGAGAGTGGTCCACGAAGGTAGTCCACGGACCAGGTCCACGAAGGTAGTCCACGGACCTGGGGTCCGCGTTTTGTCGTTTCCCCTCTGAAAATGCCATTTCAGACCATCTAGAGACTCCAGATTTTCGAAATTTTCTCAAATGTTCTGCCTTCATTTCCGCGCAACTGCCATTTACGACGAAAATTCCCGCCGCGCATTTATAATACTACAGTCTGGCCCATACTTTCCTGTAAATTTCGACATACTAAAACGCTGTTTTCTGACTATCAGAATTCTGTTAAATCTTCCCCCAAAGTCCAGGAAATGGCATTTTAGAGACTCTAAATTTAAAAATTTCCCCGGGCCTTCGGCCCTCGCTTTCAGCCCCCCCCCCCCAATCGAAAAGAGCTTCCTACGGCCCTGAATACTAGTAATTTATACCAACCTTTGGTCCAGGATATGATTATTCCTTGACCGACCTATTATCCGCAATTCCCGCCAAAACTTTCACGACTGAGTGCAATTCCCGCCAAAACCTTTACGACTGAGTCACTTCGATGTTTGTCAGAAAATGAGTCCGCCTTTTACAAATCTCAGCCCGCGATTTGTAAAACACGGACTCAGTCCGTGTTTTCCCGGTCCAGTCCAGTCCAGTCCGTGTTTTACAAATTCAGTCCGCGATTTGTAAAACACGGACTCAGTCCGCGTTTTCTCGGTCCAGTCCAGTCCAGTTCGGTCCAGTCCAGTCCAGTCCGTCTTTTACAACATGCCCGCTCAAACCACTTCAGTGGCGTGATTATCGGACTATGACCTATTTCCTATTATGGCAATACACGCTATCACGTGGGATAGCGAGCGGGAATTCGGTACAGTACAAAATATTAAATATTCATATTTTGTTGCGCCACACAGATCCTATAGTCAGGGCCGTAGTGAAGAGTTTAAAGAGGGGAGGGGGGGGGAGGGTAGTATCAGCTGGAGGAAAATTAGAGGGGGTTGCCAAAACAATTTATGGTTAGAAGGGGGGCCTTTAAAATGTTTTCAGCATGAAGGGGGTTGCCAAAATTATTTGTGGTAATTATTAATATTTTAGGTTGACCATTTTTTAGACTATTTAAAAATTTTTAGACTATGCTTATGTTCGTCCGGAAAATTTTTTTACCTCCCCCCCGTCGACAACATTTTTGGGGAAAATTTGTACGACTTGGTGAAAATAAATAGGGGGGGTTGTGAAAAAAACTGTCGGTTAGAAGGGGGGCTCATGAAAAAATTAACACCTTAATGGGGGGGTCATGGAAAACTTGCACCGTTTCTACTCTTTTTCCTCCAGCCCACCCTGACGTATAATTAATGAACGGTCCCTTATACGCCAGGGTACTAATTCCGCCATTCACACCCGGGCAAAGGAAAGCGTTCAGCCGTTTGTACTTTAATTTGCTTTTTCCTTCGCCTCGAGCAACAAATCGGCTTCAAGGAATATTGTAGGTCGATCTCATATTAATCTCATAAAACCTGTTTACGTATACGCAGGAACGCCGAGAGAGGTGGTTAAGGGGATGGGGGGCATTTTGCCCCGGGCCCCCAGCTCAAAAGGTCCGAAAGGGGATCGAAAGCGACGAAGTCTCTTAGAATATAAATGCTCATTATTGGATAATATCCAGTAAAGCGTAATATATTGTAAAACACCGTTTTTCCCGCTTTACAATTATGACGTCATGGGGACCCTTGGAAAATTTTGACTCAGAGGGCTCCCTGGGAAAGTTTTGTCTCTACCTCCCCCAACCTCCCCCCAGTCTCAAGACGGCCTCGCGTATACGACTTAATTCAATCTCGTTCCCCGAGCCTGCCCAAGGATCGCAGGCTCGGGGAACGAGATTGGACTTAATTAACAATGTCATTCTCGTACCCAGAACCCTTCTTACGCGCGGTGCGACGAGGGGCTCTGGCCAAATCCATATCCGAACTGGCATCTGATTGGCTAGTTCTAACACCGGATATTATTTTCTTACCATGTTTTTATGGTATCCGGTTATGGATTTGGCCAGAGCCCTTCGTCGCACCGCGCGTAAGAAGGGCTCTGGGTACGAGAATATTAAGAATGTGTGCTACATTCTCGTACCCAGAGCCCTTCTTACGCGCGTTCGACCGAGCGCGACGAGGGGCTCTGGGCCAAATCCAAATCAAACTGGCATCTGATTGGCCATAGTTTAATACCGGATATTGTTCTCTTACCATGTTTTTATGGTATCCGGTTATGGATTTGGCCAGAGCCCTTCGTCGCGCTCGGTCGAACGCGCGTAAGAAGGGCTCTGGGTACGAGAATGTGTGTACTATTACAGTCAAAGTGGACATTCCAACGGCAGTACTCTTTGACAGCGAATGTAATCTTGTATGAAATTAATCAACGTGGTCTTTATGTATAAAATTCCTAATGGCCACACCCCAGCGACGGGGGAGTGTGTGTGTCTGGGGGGGGGGAGGGTTAAGTGTCAGATAGAGTGTCAGTAGTGGTTAGTAGGGGTAAGTGTCAGATAGTGTCAGTTGTGGTTAGGTTGTTGCTCACCCCCCCCCCCCAAATGAAGACTGCTCGCAACGGCGCTGCCTACAGCCTGAGAAACTCAGCCGAAGTAAGAATTTGAAAAAAGGAGCGTCGACCGGCTACAGTGTTGCTGTACTTTGGAACAATCTTCCTTCAGGGGCATTATTTTAAGGATTTTCGAGTGGGGGTGCCATTGGCAAAAAGGGACTTCCCACCGTCGGAACGAAGTAGGAATGCCTAGGGCGGGACGCCATTCCACGCATGCCTAGGGCGGGACGCCATTTCCTGCATTCTGAGCCTTCAAATGTGTTCTAAGATTTATGCTTACTGTACTTATATTTCAGATAAAAACAAGGAACCGCTGCCTCGTCCCTCGTTGCTTCAGTTTCGAACAGAGATCAGATATTCGACGCTCGAGTTAAGCCCCGACATTTGAGGCATGTAAAAGAGCAATGATTTGAGTCGCCCACAATCTAGCCGGAAATAGTTATCATACGTCTCGGCTTAAATAGCTGCAGCCTAAATGAGTCGCGGACAACTCGTATAAACAGTCAATTTTCATTAAGTAACAGATTATCCTTGACTAGCTTTTATACCTTTAAGCTCATTAGGAATAAATTGACCTCTTACGCGAAATAAGTCTTATTTCGACTCAAATCATTGCTCTTTTACATCGAATATTTTCAATGACTTCGTGTTAAGCCCCTCTTTTTTCACGGGGCTTATCTCGAACTTTTCATGTTGTGTCTCTTTCTTCGAGTTAAGCCCTTGACGAAAATGAGTGTGATTACCCAACTCTCACAATGCAGGCTTGTGACCGTTTCAAGCAATATGATTGGTCTACATGGAACCTACTTCATGTTGGATTAAATCGATCAATACATGAAATACTTGTAATGATCAGGGGGGGGGGGGGTACAAGGGTTTCCAATGGAATTTCTGGACGAAAAAATGTTTTTGAAATATTTTCACAAAAATGCAAGAGGATAATAAAAAATGAAAAAATCACGAAATAATGAAAAAATTTACACGCGCGGGCGACAGTAAACTGATATTTCACTTTCCTTGGCCTAAAGTACGTTACACAAATACGATCTAAACTGACCCAAAATTACAAATAATTTATGATTATGGTAGTACAGTTCTCACCTTCACATACAAGAGCGGCTAATAACAGAAATCTCACATAGTGCGGCCGCCAATCGCCATTTTAACAATTATTGCATCATTTATTATAAAAACAATCCATCAAAATGCTGTTTATTAGTCGTATTTAGAAAATATACTCGTCTGTAGTCGTTTGTAGTTGCCTGTCACTCGTCTGTTACTCGTCTGTACTCGTCTGTTACTCGTCTGTTACTCGTCTGTTACTTGTCTGTTACTCGGGTGTAGTTTTAGAAACGATCCACGGCTGCCTGCGTTGCAATCTCGTTCCCCGAGCCCAAAGGAATCGCGGGCTCGGGGAACGAGATTGCCTGCGGTGCCATAAGGTAGCCGTGAAGCCCTGGGAACGAGATTGTGGTTGATACAAAAGTAATGCTCGTACCCAGGCTCCTTCCTCTACGCTTCTATCTCGTTGGAGGTGAAATAGGAGAATAGAGGTCGTAATATTACCGACTCGAGACCCTACGATTTTAGGACGGCAACGCGACGACGACGGCCAAAACAAACTCGTTTCTTCAAATAAATGGTAGTAAAGATAAATCGTAGTATATTATCAATCGGATGAATTTAATACAATCTTAGAAGTTGAAGACATGGGTTTTATTGGGAAGAATTCTGCTGAACCCAGTTTGAAGTTGCACTTGTTGCGGCTTGAAATGCAGCTGTTGTATCAATTAAGACGTGAAAATCTGTGGTTTGGCGTTGTAAACAGAGCGAGGACAATGACTAAATTATTCATATATTGTAATTATTCATATATTGTAATTATTCAATTCTTTTCAATGATGTATTGTATTGGTAGCCGTTGCCGTCGTGTTGCCGTCCTAAATCGTAAGGTCTCTACTGATTTGAAAAACACAACGCGAACTGAAAGACGCCACTTTCGAAACAAAGAAATTCTTCACGCAATTTACGCAAAACAAAAAGTTTGAATAATCTGTGGTCCCTGCAGGGGTATCCTCATCGACGTTGTCATTTTGAAAACAACGTTAAGTACTAGATAAAACATGAGCAGCCGATCTGTATCTGATATACAAACTCGAGCCGAAGGCGAGACTATGTTAAAGATGTTCACGTCATTGGAGCAACGTGAATGCTTGTTGCGTAGTATAATTGGATGGAGGATCGGAGTTACATAAAACCTGTCCGACAGAAGGAGACCAGATCGTTTTTTCCGAACTTAGCCTTATTTTAAAAAGCTTCGACTTATTACAGTAATCAAGTAAGTTCCTTAGCTCTCAATCTTGAGCTGAAGTTGAGATCGCGTGTTTGCCTCGTCTTTTTTTTCTAAATCTGTCTACTACCACAGGCTTTCATTCCGAGTTCCTAGCTCTTAACGCCGAGACACACGGGACGCAATTCAGGACAACGCGCGCGGTGCGATTTTTCGATTTTCACTGACCGACAACTTTGATCCTGCATGGTTGACTTTTTTCAAATATTTAGAAGCGCTATAACATTTTGAGTTATTTGGTCTACATGTCTTTTAAAATTTCGTTTTATTAACTTGCCAAAGACTGAAAAATCGGTGTGTCTCGGTATATATATATATATATATATATATATATATATATATATATATATATATATATATATATATAACA